TTTAATACCAGTGTGGACACAAGAACAAATGTATATAAGCTGGCTAGTAGGAAGTTTAGACTTGAGATTAGACGAAGGTTTCTAACCATTAGAGGAGTGAGGTTCTGGAATGGCCTTCCAAGGGAAGTAGTGGGGGCAAAAGATCTATCTGGCTTCAAGATTAAACTAGATGGGTTTATGAAGGGAATGGTTTGATGAGATAACATGATCTTGGTAGCTAATTGACCATTCATTATCAGTGGGAAATAGGTCAATGGAGGGATAATAGGAGTTACTATAGAGAACTTTCTGGGTGTCTGGCTGATGAGTCTTGCCCACATGCTCAGGGTTTAGCTGATCGCCATATTTGGGGTCGGGAAGGAATTTTCCTCCAGGGTAGATTGGCAGAGGCGCCCTGGAGGTTTTTTGCCTTCCCCTCTGTAGCATGGGGTACAGATCACAGCTGGAGGATTCTCTGCATCTTGGGGCCTTCAAAGTATTTGAAGGCTTCAATATCTGAGATATAGGTGAGAGGATTATTCTAGGAGGGGTGGGTGGGATTTTGTGGCCTGCACTGTGCAGGGGGTCAGACTGGATGCTCATAATGGTCCTTCTGACCTTGAAGTCTATGAGTCTATAAGAGATGGCACGGAAGAAGGTGCGAAGATGCAAGTGAAAGAAACCTACAAAAGGGGTGTTGCAGAGAGCCGCATACGGCTCAAGTAAGAGGGTATGAGAGTAGAGAAAGAGCGAGGAATTGTATCGTGGAAGGCCTTTATAGGAAGACTAGAGTCTTTAATGGGTTGTGGAAGACAAGGGAAAGCTTGTAAGGAGAGTCATGTTAAGTAGTGTGTGGCAGATGATCTTACCAGTCTCTCATTTTTATTTTAATGCAGAGTTTTTATTTGTTTAAAATTTTGACTGATGGGCAATATGTGCAATAGAAACTTCCTGTGAGTAGCAGCCAGGACTTGTGGCCCTATTCAGTGACCTGACCTCCCTGCTGTTTGGTTGCTTATGAATAAGAAGCATCCTGATCAACCAGTTTGTGCCGGTTCCGTTAGGTAGATGAACAAAGATCCCCTTGTTCTTTGAGGAATTTGTCTCGATACTCTAGTAAAAGCTTCCCCTCTCCAGACCCATTGTTGTGCACCAGGTCAGAGGCGTCCTGGGGTAGCAAGGGAATGTTGAATTCTTTTCCCTGCCAAAGGCGCAGAGATGGACGGAACTGTGTGTGTGCATTTGTGAAGGTTTCCATTGAAGTCTCTCCTCCCTTCCCCCTCTTCCTACAATTGAGGCTTATTTTTCCTTTTCTTTTTCTTTTTCCTGTTTAAAGAATGACCCATTTAGTGGGTTTGGGCGTCTCTGTTAATCCTTCCGCCTGCTAGAAAGTGAGTGAGCTCTGAGATGATATTGCTGAGGAAGGGGGAAGCAAGGCAGGAATTTGCCTTTCTGCCGAGTTGTAGAGATGATAGATTGGAAGAATGCGGCATAAAGCTTTGAGATATCTGGGCTCCATCTTTGTGTTTTGCCTCAACTGTCTCTTCCTTCCTCTCCTTGCTGCCAAGCTTCGCCTTGGTCTTGAACAGTAAGGGGCTAAAACACCTTCCCCCTGCAGGCAACCATTCTGTCAGTCTCCTGAGGGAATGGAGATGAAATGGAGGCTGTATCAGCCCAGTAGAATAAAGTTGAGGGAGAACAATCACCCTACATCAGAGGTGGGCAATAACATGGTGGATGTTCGCCAGAGTTAGCCCCTGGCGGGCCACCGCCACTGTATTTCCCAGCACGGCCATAGGTACCAGCAATTATAGCTCCTGTTGGCTGTGGATCACCATTCCTGGCCAATAGGAATGGTGGAAAGTGGTATAGAGCGGGAAACAGTTTCCTGCAGCTCTCATTGGCCAGGAATGGCAATCTACTGCCAATGGAAGCTGAGATTGCATGTATCTGCAGCCGTACAGGTAAATATAGCTGTGAGGGCCCACTAGGAGCTAACCCTGATAGACTAAATCAGTGTTTCCCAACTTGTGGTCCACGGACCTATGGTGGTCCACGACGGTACTGCAAGGGGTCTGTGGAAAGTTCAAAAATAAGGATTGGGCCCACCACTGTGGGCCCAATCCTTACTTTTCTTTTTTCTTTTTCTTTTTCTTTCCTTTGTTTTCTTTTTTTTTTCTCCCCCAGGGAGGGGGCGTGCATGACATTTTAATAGATTGAAAAGGGGTCCGTATGCTTGAAAAGATTGGGAACCACTGGACTAGATCTAGCGAGTGGGCTGGTATTTGCCAACCCCTGCTCTACGTAGGTCTCAGTCCTCTGTACTCAGTGGTTGTGTTTTGAGGTGAGGTGGTCATTGCCATGGAATGCTCAGTCATTGGGACACTGGTAGTACTGAGAGGTGGGATCATACTCCAAGGAGGGAGTGTGAGCTGGGGTTATAATGCTCTCATTGTTTCCCTGTGACTGTGTGATGTGTCCTGAATTACTCCTTTGTGGTGATTCACTCTGGAGCTGGAATGTGGAGAATGTTTAATACAGATGTAAATCCCAGCCAGGTTCCCCTTGGTCGCCACATCATCAACTCCCCTTTCTATCTTCTGTTATTGCCAAACGCTTTACCCTCATGAGTCTCCTTTCCTCCCATTCCCCCTTTGTGGGTTAGTGACTGTGACTGTCACATGAGACTGTTTTCACAGTGATGAGCAGTGTCCTGGTGAGGAATAACTAATAATACCCAAGATTTACATTGGCTCCCTGTGAGCTATCTTCTGGTTTGAATACACTCTCTAGGTTAGTTGGATTAGAGATAAAAGATCACCAGTGGCTGGCTGAGAGCCCGGCTGTCTGAGGGGCAGTAGTAGGAAGTGCAGGGCTCCGATGCCCAGTGTGCAAGAGATGCATGGGAGAGGGGGACAGGCATGGGGGCTGAGGTGCAGCAGGTGGAACCCCAGTGAGCCACAAGTTGCTGCGGCCCACTGAGGTGAAGAAGGACACTCATGCGGCCCACTCCCTGGTTTTGGTTCCCCATAGCTGCTATAGGTGTCTCTCTCTGGATTACTGGGAACCTTTCGTCATTGTAGAGAGACTAGAACCTACCCTAATCCAGTGTGTCAATCTCCATCTCCCACATTCTCAGGCCCTTGGCCCATCTGGTCTGTGAACCTGCCTTTGACGGTGATTGGTAGTGAATGCTATAATAGTGAGGGGAGAGAATGGTTCCTTCCAGACCTCCCCAGGAGACTGTCTTGCCCTAGTGGCGGCAGCCTGTCCATTGGCAAGTGCTTTGAATTAGTCAATGAATGGACCTGGCTTTGCAGAAGTAAAAGCTGTGGGGGATGGGTGGATTTTATGCTTAGTCCTAGAAGTTGCCCTCAGAATAAAGGTGCTGACCAGAAACCCACGTTTGGATTCAGAGCTGATATTCTAAGCGGTCAGTTTCCTACTGATGCCATCATATAGCCTGAATCACTTCCCCTGAATGGAATGGTGGTTTCCAGCTATGCTACCAGGGCAGAGTAAGGGGACAGTGGGGAGGGGGACCAGTGGAAAATGGGTGTGAGTATGAAAACAAATAAAATCTGGTGAAAGTTTTTTAAACTAACCTTCCCCCTGCACCTGTCTCTTCCAGTCTCTGTCTGCTGCTGTTTCTTCATACTGTTTCTTTTCCTGTCTGAGCTCACCGGATTCATAGCCACTGAAATGTAAGTATAAGCTATTGAAAGTTGTTGTTTTTTAAAGTGATTCCTTGGGTAGTGTCCCTGTGAGTACTTGCATCAGGATGTGCACATACCCAGGTGCTCTTGTTTGGAGATTTTGTCAGCAGTGTCCATGGGTCTATGCTTGCATCTGAGACACCCTTATGCTCTAGTATAAGGTATACCAGTAGGGACAGACCCACCACCTCTTTATCTCCTTGTTATCCACCTGTAGCTTGAGATGGAGCATCGCAGTGTTCATTAGGTAGCCATGTAGCTTGTTACATCGCTTGTTTATCTTTCCTTATTCTCTAGCACCGTGGTGTTCAACCAGTTCTGAAGCAGAAGCTTCTATAGTGGCTACCGCTATAGCGAACTAGCTTTACATGTGGCTAGTGTGTTGGACACCACGGCTCTAGTATTTACCTTTTAATTATTTTGATTTTTTTCTTTTTTGTTATTTAGCACAGTTTGTGCTTTGTGCTTTTCTGGGTTTTCCCTCCGCCCCCACCCTTCTTTTTTTGTCCAATCTGGGCCTGTTCGTTTTTCTTAGGCCTTGATCTACTGCCTTGAGTATGGATTGTGACTAAGATCCTGGGCTTCCAACTAGGGATGTAAATGGGTAACTTGGTTACCTGGAGAACATCTGCCTTACTGGGTGATGCTTACTGGGTAACAGTTTCCTGGGAGCAGGTCCCTGCCCACGGCCTGCTGCGGGCAGAGAGCTGCTCTGGGCCTGTTCGTTTTTCTTAGGCCTTGATCTACTGCCTTGAGTATGGATTGTGACTAAGATCCTGGGCTTCCAACTAGGGATGTAAATGGGTAACTTGGTTACCTGGAGAACATCTGCCTTACTGGGTGATGCTTACTGGGTAACAGTTTCCTGGGAGCAGGTCCCTGCCCACGGCCTGCTGCGGGCAGAGAGCTGCTCCAGCCCTATGTGGCTAGCATCTGGAGCTAGAAGCTGGCAACTAGTTCCGGTCCCAGCACGGGGGCCAGGGGCTGGCCTGGGACCCCACTCAGTCAGTTAGTGAGCTAAATGTTAGGTTAACTGAACATTTACCCAGTTAACTGATAAATCAGGATTTTATATCCCTCCTTCAAACCCTGCCAGGCCTACGAGAGTAATGGTGGATGTAGGAGAGGTGGGGGATAGGTGTCTGGCTAGTGAGAGGTGCAGGAGCAAGGGACAGTGCAGGAGAAGGCTTTGGATAGGGTGTCTGGCCAGGAAGAAGGGTGCAGAGCAGGGGGTGGGCAATAATTTTTTTATGGGGGGGCCACTCCAAGATTTTGGTAAGTGATCAAGGGCCATGCTCTTTCATTATTAATGGAGGAAGTGCGGGGGGGTCTGGGATGGAGATTTGGATGCAGAAGGGGAGCTTGGGGTAAAGGATTTGGGTGTGGGATATGGGGGAGAGTTTGGGCGAAGGGTAGAATCATGCCTTGGGGCAACGGAGTGGAGTGAGGAGGGGGGTCTGGGAGGGGAGTGTGACCTGAAGTAGGGGTGCAAGGGTTTGGATTGTGACCTGGGACAGGGAATTGGGGTGCAGAGTCTGGGAGGGTATGGGTGGATGCAGGAGAGTATTCTGGCCCAGGGAAGGAGTAAGTGCACAGTCTGAGAGGAGGTTATAACCTGGGGCAGGAGTGCAGGAGGGGGTTCGGGCTTTGACCAGGGATAGTGGATTGGGGTGCAAGGTCTGGGAGGGGGTTGTGACCTGAGGGGGGGCATAGGAAGAGAGCAGTGCCTGGGAAGGTGAATGGGGGCTGGAGTAGGGGTGCAAAAGGTTGGGGAAGTGAGGGTCTGGGGTACCACAGACAGACTCTGTCTGGCAGACTTTACCTGGCTCCCAGACAGCAGCCCAGGATGTAGTTTAGCCAGGGTCCCTGCCTCCTAGCCCTAGCCCCAGATCAGGAGAACTGCAAAGCAATAAACATGGCTCCTGAACTGAATGCTATAAGCCTGGGGGATGAGGTAGGAGGGGCACTGTCCATGCTGCTTGTCTTGCAAACAGGCAGCTGCTCTTGGCTGAAATTGGCCGAAGGGAGCTACTGAGGGTGGGGACAGCATGAGAAGCCTGTCTCCCCTCCCTCCAGGCTCTCAGTGTTCAGAAACACACACATGGCCCTGCAGCCATCTTCACTGAGTGCAGAGCAGAGGCGGGGCAGACAGGGAGCTGGCTGAGGCTCTGGTGGGATGCATCCAGCCCACAGATTATCTTTTGCCTAGCCTTGGTATAGGGGCAAGGTTGGAGTGTGGGATCTTGGTGGGGGCGGGGATTGAGGTGCAGGGTCTGGGACTGGTGCGGAGCTGCTTACCTGGCTCCACATCCTCATGGGTCCCAATATGATCTCCCACTGATCCCATTGACTGCAACTCCAGCCAATAAGAGTGACAGGGAAAGTCTGTCATTATGCTACCGTTTCCCCAGCTGAGCTGGGCAGGAGGGAGGCAAGAAACACCATGTGGTTCTGTTCTCTGTCTCTTTTGAGCCAGTCTGGCAGCCTGCGTCCACCAAGCCCCAACCCTAAGTGCCAGCGTGCTCCCTGCTGCAGGAGGTGGGGTGGGGATTAGCTCAAGCTGCGGACCACCTGGGAGGCGGCTGCGGACTACTAGTGGTCCGCTGACCGCACTTTGAGAACCATTGTGATAAGTTGTGTCCACAGCCTCACTTTCTACCTGAAATTTCTTCAGAATTCCATGTTTATCAAGGAGAATCACCTATTAGTGTGTTATCCCAAGCCTTGCTCTTCAAGAGAAGGAACAAGCCCCCATTTACTACATGTAAAAATAGCTCTTTCCTTTTATCTCAGCAGGACTAGACCCTTAAGGTCTTCCTCTGGACTCGGTTCACAATCATGCTAGAAGGGCATAACAAGTGGGGTTCCGCGGGGTCTGTTTTGGGACGAATTCTGTTCAATATCATCATCAATGATTTAGATATTAGCATAGAGAGTACACTTATTAAGTTTGCAGTTGATACGAAGCTGGGAGGGGTTGCAACTGATTTGGAGGACAGGGTCATAATTCAAAATGATCTGGAGAAATGGTCTGAGGTAAATAGGATGAAGTTTAATAAGAACAAATGCAAAGTACTCCACTTAGTAAGGAACAATCTGTGTCAAACATACAGAATGGGAAGCGACTGTCTAGGAAGGAGTACTGCAGAAAGGGATCTATGGGTCATAGTGGAAGACAAGCTAAATATTAGTCAACATTGTGACTTTGTTGCAAAAAAGCCAGACATGATTATGGGATGCATGAGCAGGAGTGTTGTGAGCAAGACATGAGAAGTCATTCTTCCGCTCTATTCTGCACTTGATTAGGCCTCAATTGGAGTATTGTGTCCAGTTCTGGGCACCGCATTTCAAGAAAGATGTGGAGAAATTGGAGAAAGTCCAGAGAAGAACAACAAAAATGATTAATGGTATACAGAACATGACCTGTGAAGGAAGACTGAAAGGATTGGGCTTGTTTAGATTAAAAAAGGGAAGACTGTGAGGGGATATGACAGCAGTTTTCAAGTACCTAAAAGAGCGTTACAAGGAGGAGGGAGAAAAATTGTTCTCCTTGGCCTCTGATGATAGGACAAGAAGCAATGGGCTTAAACTGCAGCAAAGGAGGTTTAGGTTGGACATTAGGAAAAACTTCCTAACTGTCGGTGGTAAAACACTGGAATAAATTACCTAGGGAGGTTGTGGAATCCCCATCTCCGGAGATATTTAATAGCAGGTTAGATAGACATCTATCAGGAATGGTAGATGCTGCTTGGTCCTGCCTAAAGGCAGGGGATTGAACTCGATGACCTCTTGAGGTCCCTTCTAGTATTCTATGACTCTTTGTCTCTGTTACAAAACAAATTAAAGGATGTCCTATGTCCACCCAAAGACTGCCTAAAATGGTTTCAGGATATGCTTTGTCCTGTTACAAAGCCTTAGGGTTCATCCCCCCCTATACAAGTTATTTTTTCACCAGGGCTCAATCTTCCTCTGTAGTCATCCTGAAAAACACACCTATCTTCAATATCTATAAGGGGGCCACCTAGTGTTTGTTGCCCATGTTTTACCATGTTCATTATGCTGTCATACCCGGTTACAGAACTGACATGTCGCCTTCTTCTGTAATTGAAGTACTGCTTGAGATTTTCCTGACATGAAACTCACATAGCGACACTACAGGAAGGAGGAGAGTTACTTAACTTGCACTGTAATTGGATTTCTTTGATATGTGTGGCCCTAGGGGGTGTTCTACTACCTACCTTCCTTCCCCTCTGCTTTAGAATCTCTTGCTGAACTTTTGTGGTTGAGAGAGAACTGTAGGGGTGGCATCTCTGTCCCCTCTACCTACCTTCTACTGGACAATGAGTATGTCTACGGTGCACGTGCAGACCTGTGGATAGTCCTGACAAAAATCTCAGATGTAGTATGTGGGAGCACTCATGCATCCTAACACAGAGCACCTAGGGGACACATTTGGAAGAACTCCAGTTTTTGTGCAAGTAAAGTAGCCTCTCCTCCTTTAACCAAATCATCTCTCTGTGACCTTAGTGTCTTATGTCTAATTCCACTAGTTCAGCTCATTGTTTAACCATGTTTGGAGTTGTCCTCATTAAAACAACATGCTCAAGTCTTAACTCACTTTATTTCCATTTAATGATGCCTCTTAGGAAAACTTTTAATTCCTTTGAGGGAAAGCTGCTGCTTTCATGCTCAGCCTTTTATTTCTAGCTATATACTGGATTTCAGGTGGAGTATAATGGATGTGTCATTCAGACTGGAGGTTGTACATGAATACATCCTTTTCCAAGTATCTCATGGTGGTCAAAGAGTGGTATGAATGTTTAAAAAGGCAGATAGCATGCAATTGCACATCCCTCCCTTTCCTGCAGTAGGCATTCTCTTGCAATTTGCTGCAACTTGTCTCCTGTAACCCCTGCCCAGTACAGTATGGTGGTTTTAAATACATTTGACTAAGGACGAGCATGGAGATGTTGTGTTCTACCCATCAC